TCTTACATGTTCATCTTTCATTTTTTCTATATTTTCTTCTAAAGTGAGTTATGTGTGATTGACTGTCTTTTTGCCTGTTTCTAGTTTCAATTTTAGATTCTCAGATCTAAGCTCTAGGACAGTTGAGTCAAGTGCATGAACCTGGTTCTTCAACACAGTATTTTCACTTATAGTTTCACTAACCCTAAGTTCCAGGTTTTTGCACTTAGCCTTCAAAATCACACATTCTTTAGACAGCTGTTCCTTTTCATTATTTACATCCTCAAATTCATCAATTAGCTCTAGTAGTAACTCAAATAACCTTTCTTTAGACAAAAATTTAATCTTGTCTTTGAGATGAAGGGCACTTACCTCAGTTTCTTCATCAGATTCTCTAATGGCCATAAGTGCTCGTTCATCCTCATTATCATCATCTAAGCTTTCAACTGAGCTTTCTCCCCAAGCAGGGACCATAGCCTTGGTTGATCCTTTGTTGTTGCTTTTCTTGGGTTGAACCTGTTCCTTCTTCCTATTCCTTCGTTCAGCTCTTTCCTTCTTCTATTCAATTTCCCCCAAAGGACAGTTTTTGATGTGATGATCAGGCTTTCCACACTTATAACAACCATCATTGGTTTTCTTCTCAGGAGTTTTTGCCTTGCTGTAGATTCCACTTTTTGAAGAACCCTTTCCTCTCCTCAGGTACTTCTTGAAGTCTTTGGTGATCACAGCCATTTCATCATCTTCCATATTAGAACTTTCAGTGATTCTGAGTGCCAAGCTCTTTTCCTTCTTAGGTACATCCATCTTCATAATTTGTATCCTAAGTTCTTAGGCAATGAGATTTCCAATTAATTCATCTAGTGGGAGAGTTGCAATATTTTTTGACTCCTGGATGGCAGTAATCTTACTTTCCCAAGTGATTGGCTAGACCCTAGTAAGTATCTTCTTAACCCTCTCTTCTTCAGGAATAATCCTTCCAAGATATTTTAGTTCATTTCTCAGTGTAATGAACCTTGTGTACATATCTTGAATGGTTTCTCCATCCTTCATAGCAAAGTTCTCATACTGAGAGTACAGTAGAGTTCCTCTAAATCTCTTCACTTGGGTAGTTCCTTCATAAGCCACCTGTAGTGTGTCCGAAATTTGCTTAGCAGTTGCACAACATTCTGCTGTACTCATCTGGACCAAGCCCACAAACAAGCCATTTCTTGGCTTTAGAATTCTTCTCCCATTTCTTCAAGTCCTCAGCAGTGCAATCCGCTCTTGTCTTTGGCACATCTACTCCTTCAGCATTTTTCTTCAATATAGCTAGTGGGCCATCAATAACAATATCTCATAGCTCATAGTCCTCTCCTTGAATGTGATCTCACATTCTGTTCTTCCACCAAAAGTAGTATTGTCCATTAAAGAGTGGTAGCCTAGTAGTGGATTGTCCTACCCAGTTTTCAGGTGGTACACTCATATTAATCTTCTCCTAAGGTGTTAGCCTCTTCAAGGATAACCCGCTCTGATACCAATTGATGTTTTATACTTCAATATCACACAAGATGGGGGGTGATTTATGTGGTATCCAATTTTTTACGTACACAGATTATAGAAGAACCTGGTTCTTCTATGTGTTTCTTATACTACTATCACGGAATAATAAATTCGAAAAGTAAAGAACACAAGTATTTTTACGTTGAAAATACCTGGCTTAAAAGGTGAAAAAACCACGACATACTACCTAGTAGGATTTTTCCCAACACTTCACTAAATCACTGATCCAAAAATAATATTTACAAAACTCTTTGTAAACCTAAGGATTACCTCTAACCCTTTGTGGCAACCATCCTCTAGCTGTTGCGACAACTTCAAGTTAACTCTAACTTGAATACAACACTCAGAGTACCTAGTACAATTGCTTCTAGATAAAGCTGAAAAGTACAACTCAAAAGCCCTACTACAATGAAACTAGAATAAAAAACAGACACTTGAAACTGGTTCTTCTATCTGGTTCATATAGCTTCAGGTTCGTACACTTGAATTACACATGAATTACTTGCAAAATGCCTTGCTATTTTGCTCTCAACTCACGTTTAACTTCAGCGTTTATGCGTACCTGCAAAATGAGAATATCCTGCAATATATAGAGTTAGTAGAATAGGAAATAACTAGAGTTCTAATGCTTTACTCTTCCTTGGTGGAAGAGTTCTAGTTATCTTCAACTTCTAACTCCTCCCTTATCTAGGATAGAGTTCTCTTCGAGTAAGGAGTCCTTCTCCTTATCACTTATGCAACCTTTTCGTTCAGGAGATATCGGATATAACCATTTAAGCTTATCTCCTTCACGTGCATGCCTTGTGCTTGAATTTGCCCATGTCTGTGTACACTGTGTATGGACCTAGTTCATGCTTGAGTTCCTTTGTCAATCATCAAAACAAACTTCACTTAGCCAACATAGAGCCACGGGGCGAGCAATTATCCTCCTCAATAATCGGATAGAGATTTAGAGAGTGAGAAAAAACTAATGAAAAATGAGTATAGTGGAGATAGTCGTACTTTATGGTAGATCACAACCATATTATTAAAAGTTTTGCCACGAGTAAAGGAGTAAAGAGTTTCAAGGAAAATATACGTTTGTTGACAGTTTGGGAGAAAAATGTTAACAAGGAAAAACTAGATTACCTCATGAGTTTATTGCAAAAAGAAAGTATTTTTGTCAATCTATTTCGACCATAATTTGGATAAGAAACAGCACACAATTTAGTTTTTTCTTTATCTAATTGAACTCTTCATATGTACACCATAAATGTACTATAATCTTTCGATTTCTTGCATTTTGCACCTTAATGTGTGCATTATTATTATTTTTTTTTATGAGAACAATATCAACCATTTGCAAGCAAGAGTTTTCTAGTTTAAACTTCGCTGAAAGATCTCACATTTCCTTCTTAAAATCTGCGAATGTGCATAGCCAGAAATTCTTTGGCACAATAATTTGCTGGTTTCTTGCTTTCTTATAAACCAATTGAAAAGTCTGAAATTATTGCACAGAAATTACGTAGAGCTGTGGTTATGTAAATGACTCTTTGGTGATTAGTAAAATAATTCAGTTACCAAAAAAGGGGGTAAATCATAAAGAATAAGAGGATAGAGAGCAAACAAAAAAATAATGCACACATTAAGGAGCAAAATGCAAAGAACTCCGTCAATTTTCATTATTCAATTTTTCTTTTAAAAAAAAAGAACAAAAAGATACCAAAAGTCAGAACATATATAATATTACGTCTTACTAGAAATATTTGTTTAACACTTATACGTGTGATCTAGGGGTGTCAGTGGGTTGGACTGATTTTGGACGGGTTAAAATAGGCTGAGTAAATAAATAGGCGGGTCAAACTTGGCTGAAATGGGTTGGATCAAGTTGTGCTAAAATTTGGGTCATAGTGCAACCCGCCCAACTCTTACCAAGCTTTAATTAATGTGTATTGTTTAATTATTAAATAAGACTTTTTTCTTTTGTTATGGTCATATGTAACATATCAAACAAAAAAATAATTTATTTTAAAGATATTTTAGCAAAGTTACTCGTGGATCAATTTGAATAAAAATCAACCCAACTTCAGATGGGCTGAAATGAGTGGTGTCAAGATGGGCTGAGTTCAACAACATTGACCAGCCCAACCTTTGGCAAGTTGGATGGGTCAAATGAGTTTGTGCTTAAATTACCACCCCTAGTGTGATCATAACAAACACTACTAAAAAACAGCAAATTTGCGACTGAATAATTTCGACCGATTTAATTCAGTTACAATTTTTGACTGATTTGGTCGGAAACTTTATTAAAAAAATATGTTAATTTTTTTTATATTTGGCTCCAAATTGCGACTCTTTCAGTCGCTCATTTACACGGAAAATACCGCGAAAATATGTTTTATGATTTTCGATTGAATAAGTCGTAAAAAAAAAATTAAAAACAAATTAAATGTTTCGACCGATTTGGTCGGAATCTGTAATAAAAAGGTCTGACTGGTCAACGGATTTGTGACAGAATCAGTCGCTATTTGAAAATTTCAACTTTCAAATTTGCGACCAATTCAGTCGCAAATTTATTTTTAATATAGTCCCAACCCATTTTTTCTTCTTTCTTCTTTCATCTCTAGTTTTTTTTTCCTCTCATCACATCTCCTCTTCTGCCCCCACTCGCTCTATTTTTTTTCATTTTCTTCTCTAATCTAACCGTATAAGATATAATTTCCCTCTCTCTTTGTAACACCTGACTTGTCATTTTAATAATTTATGCCCCGTTCAGCGATATAAGGTCCCGAATAATTTCGTAATATGTATTATGACTTGCGTGTGCAGTCGAGTTTAGTTTTCGGAAGATTCAGAATTAAATTGAAAGAACAATTCTTATTTTAGAAGCTAAAATGAAAAGAGTTGACCGGAGAGTTGACTTTTGAGCAAAACGGCTCCGGAATGGAATTTTGATGATGTCAATAGTTTCGTATGGTGATTTCGGACTTAGGCATATGTCCGGATTTGGATTTGGAAGTCCGTATGATAATTCGGTATATTTTGGCGAAAAGTTGGAAATTGAAGTTCTTGAAATATTCATAAATTCGACCGTAAGTAGATTGATTGATAACGAGGTCGGATTTTAATTACAGAAATTAAAACAGCTCCATTACGTTATTTATGACTTGTGTGCAAAATTCGAAGTCATTCCGGATTGATTTGATACATTTCGGCGAAAAATATAGAAGTTGGAAGATTTGAAAACTCATAATTCGATTCGAGGCGCGATTCGTAATTTCGGCATTTCTTGACGTGGTTTGAAGTCTCGACTAAGTTTGTATTGTATTTTAGGACATGTTCGTATATTTGGTTAAGGTCCCGAGGGCCTCGGGTGGATTTCGGGTAGTTAACGGATCAATTTGGACTTGAAGAAAGCTGCTGGAATTTCTGGGCAGCAGTTGATATTTTCGCTTCTGCGGAAGCTTCATCGCAGAAGCGACGCCTTGCACCGCAGAAGCGAAATGGGAAGGGACATGACAGTGGTTGCAGGTGTGAAGCAATTCCCACACATGCGGGATCGCAGAAGCGAGAAAGAAGACGCAGAAGCGGAAGCTGGCAGCAGTGGGTGTGATCGCAGAAGCGACCATTTTGTCGTAGAAGCGACATCGCAGATGCACAATTTCTTCCGTAGATGCGAGCTCCTGTTGGACAGTGGATATTGGGACTTCACAAATGCGCATTTTGGCTCGCAAAAGTGAGGCTGCAGATGCGCAAATCTGTCCGCAGAAGCGGAACTAGGCAGAAACATAAAGGACCAAAAATGATCATTTCGCCATTTTCGATTGGATTTTTGGAGCTCGGTTTTGGGGCGATTTTGGAGGAGTTCTTCACGACTTCGACTTGGGTAAGTATCCTATATCCGAAAGTGATTATATTTCATAAATCCATGGTTTTATTCATCATTTATTTCGGATTTAAATGGAAGAAATCAAGGTTTTTGCAAAACTTTTTTAAAAACGAAAATTTAAGATTTGGAGGTCGAGTTGTTATTGAAATTTGATAAAATTAGTATGGTTGGAATCGTATTAGAATGGGTGTTCGAATTTCGTAAAACTTCTATCAGGTTTCGAGAGGCGGGCCCCGCATTTATTTTTGGTTGACCTTTTAGAATAAAATTTTAAGTTGACGTTATATTATCCGGAATTAGTTCCGATAAATTTTAATAAAGTTATACAATTAATTTGAATAGATTTGAGTTATTCGGAAGATTAATTCAAGCAAGAAGGCTATTTTGGAATATCGGCATAACTTCAAAAAGGTAAGTATCTTGCCTAACCTTGAGTGGGAGAAATTACCCCATAGGCATTGAGTCTTATGTGTAAATTGTGTGATTGAAAGCCGTGTACGCAAGGTGACGAGTACATACTTGGTTTATATGTGCAAATTACATCGGTTGAAATTCATAGACGCCCTTATGTATTAAATTGGAAAAATTATTGGAACTTAGTAAATCCTTGAATTGTCATGTCTCATTCCTTGTTTGTCGATTTTGTATTTTATATGATAATTTTGTGTTATTGTCACTTGGATTTTTATGTGAATTCTGTGTGTTGTTGATTTGATAATTTTCTTGGAATTAAATTCATTATGGAATCCTTATCTGCAAATAATTATTAAAAAAGGTTTAAAATGAGGCATTAATTTATATTTATTAAAATATGGATTAATGAAGGCGTTGTCCTATGCTGAGTTACTTTTCCATCTGTATTGTTATTTTGAGATTTTATATACGTTGTGTGGAGTCTTGGGATATTTGTTGAGAAATTTATTGATTTGCTATATCTTTGGAATTGGTTGTGGTCATTGGGCAAATTGTGATATGAATTGATTGTGTTGTGTTATCATAATAATAGTCCGTGTAAATTGTTGTGTGATTTGAGTTATTATTATGAGGATATAAGGGTGGCATTCCAATGTTGATATTATGTGGGTATAAGGGTGGCTATTATACGGAGCGATAAGGGCGGCTATAGGAGCGATAAGGGTGGCTATTGATATTGTCGGAGCGGAGGGATAAGGAAAGCTATTACAGGAGTAATAAGGGTGGCTATAAGAGAGATAAGGGTGGTTATTGTCAGGGATGATATGTGATGATGTGGGGTTATGGTGTTGGTAATTGATATGTGATGATGTGGATTATTGTGTTGGTGATTTTTATGTGATGTTGTAATTTTCCTTGTGTTTATCCTTATATCTTGCAACTTGTCTTGTTGTTTCTGTAAACTTGATAATAGTCTGATCTATGTTGAAATCGTGAGTTCGTGGCTATTGTCTAGCTGATAATGTTATATGGGATCGGGTTGCACGCCGCAATAGATATGATTAATATTATATGGGATCGGGTTGCACGCCACAACAGATATGATTAATAATATATGGGATCGGGTTGCACGCCGCAACAGATATGAAATGTGGGCACGAGATGTCGGAGGAAATTATAATGGTTTTTATTATTGGCACGTGAACTGTCCGTGCAAATGATGATTTAAATATGGGCACGAGGTGCCGTGGAAATATGAAAGTGGGTTGAGACCCGTATTTTATGATTATGAAATGAGGTGTCACAAAGTGACTTTTATTTGAAAGAATGTTATATTCGAAAGATATTTATTTGAAAGAATTATATTCGAAAGATATTTATTTGAAAGAATTATATTCGAAAGATATCTATTTGAAAGAATTATATTTGAAATATATTTATTTGAAGGAAGTATATTCGAAATATATTTATTGGAAAGGATTATATTCTAGAGATTTTTATTGAAAAAGAATTTGTAGATGAAAGATGTATATTTTGAAGGACTTGATTATTGGTTGTACTTGTGTTCATTATCTGTTTGAACAATATTTATGGAGTTCTTGTTGCCTTGCTGTTTACATCACTAGTTGATTATTGTTGATATCACTGCTATTTGTTTTCTATTATTTTTGTATACTATATTGCACATGTTATTAGACTAGTGAGTGTCTTGACTGTACCTCGTCACTACTCCACGAAGGTTAGTCTTGATACTTACTGGGTACCGACTGTGGTGTACTCATACTACACTTCTGCATATTTTTGTGTAGAGCCAGGTATTGAAGATATCAGACTTGGACAAAGTTAGAGTGTGATCGCAAGGATTTAAGATAGAGCTGCCTATTCGTCACTGTCTCTTGGAGTTTTTTCATTTTATCGTACTGTTAATTTCTCATTCGAACAGTATTGTATATTCGGTCCTCGAGATTATTCCATGTATTCAGTTAGACTTCGTGACTCAGTATTACCAATCTTGGGAGGTTGTTTATATTTGTTTTCACTTTTGGTTTCGACACTTGTATTAAATTATATGTTTTAAAAACAAATGGCTTCTGTTGTTGTTATAATCGGCTTACCTAGTCTTAGAAACGAAGTGCCATTAGTACGACGCATGTGGTGGAATTTCGGGCCGTGATACTCTCACTCTCCCTCTCCNCGGCTTATCTCCACTTTGGTGGTGGTCCGGCAGCAGATCCATTAGTCGTTTTCCTTTGTTTTTTTTTTTTGTGCATTAATTTAACAAAATAGTATGTATATATTAGCTATAGAAGTAGTTACTTATGGCAGAGCATCAAAAACACCTTCTTTTCAGTCAAAATATTTAAAATTTTGCTTATTCTTTTTGTTCTAAAATGTTAATATGAGACTATCCTAAATAGAAGGATCATACTTTATAACGTCTACAATGGAGAATTATGAAATTACCAATGTCTTAGTGTCTTTCCTATACCAGAAGTCCAGAACCATTTTCATATTTTGTGGAATTTGGTAGTGTAGATGTTGGAAAAATATTTGAAGAAATTATATATTCACATGTATCAAAATTATATACGGTAAGGTTGAAATAAAAAATCAGATTTAATCTTATTTGGAAAATACATGAATTGAAAGACAAAAGTAAACGGTAATAACCATAGTATAAATCTTTTGAATTATGTATATTAGTAAGTATATTTAATTAATTATAACAGATAAGTTTTCCCATCATAGTGAATTAAAGGTACATTTTTCGTCTTCCACATTTTCTATCTCTCGAGTGGTTTTCAAAAACATATATGGGGTGGTTTGGAGCCGGCAAAAGCGGTGCCAAAAGTAGTATAATTGTATGTATCCAATAGTAAATCAAGAAACAAAATCGTTAAAAAAGAAAAACAAGAAAGACAGTCAAGCTGCAATGGAGTCTGAGTCTGAGTCTGAGGAGGAAACTGAGTCTGACTAGGCTATTTGAATATTTTAGAGTTCAAGTTAGAAACATGATTAATTTATGTTGTTTGATAGTTGGTTGTTTGATTAGTTGGTTGAATTGTTACAAATATTATTGTTCGTTTTGTAGTAAATATTGGATTTGAATTGTTATACTAGGTGTTTGGTTGGTTGTTAGGTGTTTGGTTGGCTGTTTTATTTGGCAGGTGGTGTAATTAAAAATACAGCAGAATTCTGCTAAAAATTTCTCTGATTTGCGACGGAATCAGTCACAAATTCCACTAGAAATTACCCAGATTTTTGACTGATTCAGTCGCAAATTGAGAATTTTTAAATTTTTTTAATTAATTAATACTCAATATGTACCACTGTTTCAGTCAGAATATTTAATTAAAAATTAATTTTATTATTTAATTTTTCAACGGAATCAGTCGAAACTTTTAATTTGTATTTATTTTTTTTATTCTGGTCAGCGACTGAATCACTCTCAAATTTAGCGACCAATTCGGTCGTAAATGGCTTAAATTCAAATGTACCTGTATTTTTCAGTTTGTGATTGAATCCGTCACAAATTTTCGACGGATTCTGTCGCAAATATATTGCGATCACATATTTTCTGACTTACCCTTTTCAGTCGAAAATCCGTCAGGAAAAATACATTTTCCGACCGATTTTCGACTGATTTGACGGTCTTGCTATTTTTTAATAGTGAAAACAATGACCCAATTATATTCTTGACTTTGCTTAGAATACAAAAACCCTACGAGATACACTATTGTAAAAGCTAGAACATGGGCGTTTGTTATCTTGACAACTTTCAAGAATGGTTAGTCCTCAGTTGTTAGCATTTATATTTGCAATTTCATCAATTTATTGAATAAACTTTATAACATACACACTGAAAATTCATCTCTTCTATCACTGTTTACCGAAAAAATCGGATAACGTTAGATTTGTGGATGGTTCTAAGGATATGCGATACAATTTAATATAAATCGCGTAGAGAAATAGAAATATGTGTATTGTTGATTACAAGAACGAAAATAATAAGTAAAAAAAATAAATAAGTAAAACAAGCACAAGGGGATTACTATCAATATCTAGAGGAGGTGATCTTTTTTATGTTCAACCTCCTCTAGCTTACAAGGATTCCCCCTTTTATAGAAGAGGGTAATTACCAAAAAATAATAAAATAAAATATGTAGTGGAAGACCCATAATGACTTGTCTCTTCCTTGATTCTCCCAAAGATTCTCTTTCTTGGTGTGGTTACAACGGCTCTTGTCTGTGAGCTCGATACTAAATCGAACTCGTTACTGGGTCGGGCCCTTCGGTCTTTGATCGAGTTCGATCTTCGAGATGGGCGTCGCGCATTTTCGACCTCGAAGCAGTGACTTGCGGATCGATTCGGTCACGGGCTCGATAGGATTATCAAGCCGCCTCCTCGATCGACCTTCGGGCTCGAGGTTCGTTAGTACCGACCTCAGAGCTCACTCCCAAAATCTCATTCCGACTTCTTAACACTCGAACTCGATCGAACGTAGGAAGGTCGAAATCTATTTCGACCGTATACAGATAGTCCCCTCGTTTCTCGGAAAAGGATGTCACGAGAAACGATATGATTTCCCAGTAGCTCGATCAGATATACACTGATGTTTTTATCTGATGCTTTCCCAGCAGCTCGATCAGATATACACTGATGTTTTTATCGATCCCGACCATGACGTATGTAATGCTCGATCATCTTATGCGTCTTTATAGTCCCCGACTTTATCCAGGATACCCGAATTTTTTCTTCCCCGGTGGGAATTGACAGTTACCATCGATCTTTGGTGATCGAAGAAGACCAATCAGTGATGAATGCGGAGGGACTTCCTGTCTTTTCAACGAGGCCTAACATGCTTTGAATCGGATAACTTCTAATGGCGTTTTCGCCGCTTCTGTACAAAACTTTTGTAAATACAAATCTTTCTTCTTCTTTTTTGAAGAGAAATGGCCTTTCAAACTAAATAGACAGTTTGAATTTAAATCTCTGTTGCCTTCGGGCCTCGTGGGTAGTCCCCTTTGCTTTATCGGGTTCGAGCGTCCTTCAGCTTAAATAGTCAAGTGTTTGTTTTAATTCGAAGAAATGAGTAGTTTTGCTCAAAATAATGTAGCCCGTAGGCGTAATAGTCGAGCGAGTGATGGCTCGAACTCAAAATAAATGTAGCCCGTAGGCTTAACAGTCGAGTGAATGATTCGAACTTGATGCAATGTAGCCCGCATGCGTAATAGTCAAAGTAGCCCGTAGGCTTAATGGTCGAGTGTGTGATTGTTCAAACTCGAAATAAAGGTAGCCCGTAGGCTTGGCAATCGAGTGAATGATTCGAACTCGATGCAATGTAGCTCGTAGGCATAATAGTCAAAGTAGCCCGTAGGCTTAATGGTCGAGTGTGTGATTGTTCAAACTCGAAATAAAGGTAGCCCGTAGGCTTGGCAATCGAGTGAATGATTCGAACTCGATGCAATGTAGCCCGTAGGCGTAATAGTCAAAGTTGCCCGTAGGCTTAATGCTCGAGTAAGTGATTGCTCGAACTCGAAATAAAGGTGGCTCGTAGGCTTGGCAATCAAGCGAATGATTCGAACTCGATGCAATGTAGCCTGTAGGCGTAATAGTTAAAGTAACCCGTAGGCTTAATGGTCGAGTGAGTGATTGCTCGAACTCGAAATAAAGGTAGCCCGTAGGCTTGGCAATCGAGTGAATGATTCGAACTCGATGTAATGTAGCCCATAGGCGTAATAGTTAAAAGTAGCCCGTAGGCTTAATGGTCGAGTGAGTGATTGCTCGAACTCGAAATAAAGGTAGCCCGTAGGCTTGGCAATCGAGTGAATGATTCGAACTCGATCCTGTTTGCATAATAAATCTTGAACATAGAATATCGGTAAGGAGGAGAGCTTTCTTTGCAGGTCATTATACATGGGTTGATGTTTTGCGTCAGGGCTCGGGCCAACTATATAAGCATGGTTCGTTTTGACCGTTTGACCCTTACAACATTTTCCATTGAGACACTGTTTGTCATGAAATAACGAAATAACTTCCTTTGCACCGAACTTGATAATCATCACAGATGCGTTCAATGATAAAGCCTCCCTGTGTACGAGGTTGATTTTAAAGAGGCCTCGGATACTCAGCAGTAGTATCGTTTCTGCTATATGGCTGGTATCGATCTCTGGTCGACTTTTTCTTTTTCGTAATGGTCCTAGAAGTCAACTGGTCATCTTCGACTCTTATTTTGGATTGATATCGATTGTGTACATCGGTCCAAGTAATAGCTGGGTACTCGATCAGATTTTGCTTTAGCCGCCGCGAAGCCCTCGAGCTCCGCTCATTTAGACCTTGAGTGAAAGCTTGAACAACCCAATCGTCTGTGACTGGTGGCAGATCCATTCATTCCATTTGAAAACGAGCTACGAACTCTCTTAGCATCTCGTTATCCTTTTGCATTACCTTGAACAGGTCTGACTTTCTGGTTTCGACATTTATGGCTCCGGCATGAGCTTTTACGATACCAATGGAGTTATATGGTAAATTATGATACCATATCATTGCCCCTTTTGACAGGGTTTCACCGAATTTTTTTAATAATACAGATTCGATCTCATCATCTTCCAAATCATTTCCCTTGATGGCACACGTGTAAGAAGTGATGTGCTCGTTGGGGTCGGTCGTTCCGTTATATTTGGGTATTTCGGGCATACGAAATTTTTTGGGAATTGGTTTTGGGGCTGCACTCGAGGGAAAAGGCTTTTGAATAAATTTTTTCGAATCTAGCCCTTTTATCATTGGTGGAGCCCCCGAGATCTGGTCGACCTTGGAATTATATGTTTTTACTTTTTTATCGTTGGTTTCGACTCGTTTTGTGAGTTCCTCGGGCAATTTAGTAATTTCAAGAGTAGTCCCCGATTCTTGCTCATTTGGCTTCTCTATGGCTGGTTCCGTTTTGTGGGTGACTTCTCGAAGCGGATTAGGCTCCGGCCTGCTTTGTACCTAAGTTTGGCTCTGCAACTGAGCTATCGCTATTTGTTGGGCTTGTAACATCTCGAAGATCATCCGTAAGCTGACTCCGATCTCCTCCACGTTATGGGTGTCTCGAGCTACGGATCGAGTACCACCATGAATGCTCCTTTCCGGTTCGGAATGCTGATTCGCCTCTAGAGCTATTTGTGAATTGACATCCAATGATACTTCGGCTCGAATTTCGGGTGCTTCGATTCGAGCCTCAGCGCCTTCATCGAGTGGCCTTCCAGCCCCGGGTGCCAATTTGTTGGTTTCATCTTGAAGGCCGGCTTCGTGGTCGATAGGCGAAGCCATTGCTGATTTGAAGTTACAAACTGGCGTGTACTTTAGGTTTATATCAAAAAATCACTGTTACCCTTCGCCCCACGGTGGGCGCCAAACTGTTTACCAGAAAAATCGGATAACGTTAGATTTGTGGATGGTTCTAAGGATATGCGATACAATTTGATATAAATCGCGTAGAGAAATGGAAATATGTGTATTGTTGACTGTAAGAACGAAAATAATAAGAATGAATAAGTAAAACAAGCACAAGGGGATTACTATCAATATCTAGAGGAAGTGATCTTTTTTATGTTCAACCTCCTCTAGTTTACAAGGATTCCCCCTTTTATAAAAGAGGGTCATTACCAAAAAATAATAAAATAAAATATATAGTGGAAGACCTATAATGACTTGTCTCTTCCTTGATTCCCGCAAAGATTCTCTTTCTTGGTGTAGTTGTAACGGCTCTTGTCTGTGAGCTTGATACTAGCTCGAACTCGTTACTGGGTCGGGCCCTTCGGTCTTGGATCGAGTTCGACCTTCGAGATGGGCGTCGCGCATTTCCGACCTCGAAGCAGTGCCTTGCGGATCGATTCGGTCACGGGCTCGATAGGATTATCGAGCCGCCTCCTCGAGCGACCTTCGGGCTCGAGGTTTGTTAGTACCGACCTCAGAGCTCACTCCCAAAATCTCATTCCGACTTCTTAACACTCGAACTCGATCGAACGTAGGAAGGCCGAAATCTATTTCGACCGTATACTATCTCAACTAAATTTAAAAAATAAACCATCTTTAAAGTCATAAATAGAATGATATTTGTGCTCATGCTAACACTTGCCTACAGACTTTTTTCATACAGCCCACTTGAACAAATTTGGATTTGGAGCAAGGTTCTTCGATCTGACCCTATTATCTGTATATTTTGACTTGTAAAATATATCACATTAAAAGATATCCATATATATATATATATATTTATAGTTTATAAAGGTAATCCAATGCGATACATTAAATGTGAATTTAAAGTACTATGTTGGATACCCTTTCAACTAAAGTGTTTTAAAGAATTTTAGCCTTAGGTTCAATTTACCTTACAACATATAGAACATAAGATATAAAGTGTTGATAACATCACAATTTATTATTGGTTCTTATATTCATAATTGGAACAAAATAAAGGTGGAAATTACATTCTATGTTTAGTGAGGCCGTGAGTAGGAAAATATTCAACGACGAATAATGTGGGAAGAGGAATTATTGATATCGTTTCACACTAATTATTATGGCTTAATTTGGAAAGTAAGATGATCTAGTTTAAAGACAGTGAATCTGATTCAACTCCCTTTTTATCAATGTTTAAATCGTGCTAGAGGCTATTACATAAACCCAAGAAATTTTTTTAGCTAAGACCCTTCGTTTAACTTCAAATTTGTAATATTTTTGTCACTTAGACATACTGCTAATGTTAAAAAAAATTTGGGAAGAGAGAAAGAGAGGACAAAGATTCAATAGATGGAATTGCCTCCTTCTTTGCCCCTCTTCAGAAAAACTCGTTTTTATCATTATCTCTTCTTATTACTAAGTTTGGTTGTATTTTTGATTAGTTATTCAGCCTTTCTTCTTCCATCTTCGCCATCAGTCACATCCTTAGCCAACTTGATTTGGCCAACTCCAAAACCTACAAGTAAGTTGATCAACACCCCCTATTTTTTTGGTATTAATTTTCTTGGATTTTAATTTCTATACACTAACAACGTAAAAGAAGTTTACACTAATGTATCACTTAAAATGTAGTTATCGGTAATAATTCATAATAAGTGATATTAGTAACCTGAAAATTAACACACCCTCAATATGTATTAAGAAGGAAAATCTTGAAACAACGGTAAAGTTGTCTCCGTGTGACCTATAGGTCACGGGTTGGAGCCATGGAAGTAGTCACTACTCCTTGCATTAGGATAGGTTGTCTATATCACACCCCTTAAGGTGCAGTCCTTCCCCGGACCCTACGTGAATGCGAGATGTTTTGTAGGCCGGGTTGATCCCTCCTCAATATGTATTAAGTTAATTCCATTTTCTTGAGGAATATTCGTGTTTTTCTAATCCTAAGTTGTTAACTTTGTTGTTGTGTTAGAGAAGAACAAGGATAAGTTGCCATTTGCAATTGGAGAAGCTGAAAAAGAGTGCGATTTATTCAGTGGAAATTGGGTTTGGGATGAGTCAAGTCGGCCTTTATATGAGGAATCAGAATGTCCATATTTACTTCCTCAGCAGACTTGCCAAGAACATGGCAGGCCAGACAAGGATTATCTCTATTGGAGATGGCAACCTCATAATTGTCTTATTCCAAGGTGTGTAACATTTTCTTTACCCAAATATTACTCTCTATCAATTATATCATTACACGATTATAATTTTTATGTATTGACAGTGTAAAAATTAATATTATATTATCTCGACAGATTCGATGCATCTTTGATGCTCGAAACTCTTCGAGGAAAGAGGATGATGTTTGTAGGTGATTCCTTAAATAGAGGCCAATTCATTTCCTTGGTTTGCCTCGTTCATAAAATCATACCAAATGACGCCAAATCCCTCCATAAAGTTGATTCATTTACCATTTTCACAGCCAAGGTATGGTACACACACTGAGTTTTTGTACTATTAATGGAATTTGACCTGTTAGATCTGGTTAATTATCATTCATTATAGGTTACTGCTCAAATATTAAAAAAACAATCTTATTTTCAGCATTGCTAATTTGCTATATAACTGGTAACTATATTTGACCTTCAATTAATTGCAAGGTGAACTTTTAGTCATCCGCTAATTATGAATATTCATAAAATCACAAATTACTAGATGTTAAACTGCAGTCACCAATATGTAAAATTTATGTTGTTACTCCATATTTGAGACTGATATTACTCAAAAATAGCCTAAACACAACATATTTCTATATAGAGCGGCCAAAAGCATATAGTTTAACTGATTGAAGGCTAAATATGCTTTAAAAAAAGCTGCTAAATATTACAAGGACCATTCAGAATTTACCAATAATCGAGGAACCAAAACTGCACTTAATTATTAGATCGCTGCAAATTGAGTGTGGTCAGATAGAAAAACATCTTTTGCTGCCAGCTCTTGAAGTCATTGCTGAAAATGTATAGAATTACCTGCAAATATATATCTTTTAAGTGACTTGGAATACATATAAATAGTTTTTACACTGCATAATCTCAAACTCATACTTATATTACACCATTTGAACACTACTATTCAATTGCATGCAAATTGTAGTACTAATAGTTAACTTGGATTCACTACTAACATTTAACTTGGATTCGCAACTCAGAATTACAATGCGACAATTGAATTCTATTGGGCACCATTTCTTCTAGAATCAAATGCAGATAGTCCTGGAAAGCACAGGGTACCTGATCGAATTGTTCGAAAAGATTCAATAAATACCCATGGGCAAAATTGGAAAGGAGTCGATATAATGGTGTTCAATACCTATATTTGGTGGATGACAGGCCGTACATTCAAGATTCTGTAAATTTAACATAACATTTTCTTCTTACATTAACATTCTTTTCTTCTTTGCTATAGATCTCTAAAACTAAACTCTTATATTTCACGCAGGAATGGTACATTTGATGATAATATAAAACACATAGCAGATGTGCCAACTGAAGATGCTTATGGTATGGCGATGGAGAATTTACTGAGGTGGATAAAGGGAAATGTGGATCCAAAACGAAATAGGGTCTTTTTTACCAGCATGTCACCTTCTCATGCATGGTAAGGTGATTTGACTATACAAACTTTCATAATATTAGCATTACTATTAGGATGCCAAATAAGCCAAATTTATAAAAATTTCATATATATAGTCGATTTCAACTAGTTTACCATTGAGAGATATTCGATTGGTTGATTGATTTATCTTTTGTTACTGGCAGAGGCGGAATCAGGATTTGAAACTTATGAGTTGGAGTCTCTAGTCCTTTTATGTTACTGATTTCTTAATTAACAATTTGTATATATCAATGAAAATTTTAAGATAAATATAAAGTTTGGACCAAAGTTACTAGGTTTTTACCGAACTCATACCTAGCTCCACCTGATCCAACTTCGATAGAACCTATTGCTTCGAGGTCAAGCCTTATGGACACGTGTAAACGAGAAACATAGATAGAGAGTTAGATATACATTTCAAAATCCTATCTCTTAACTCGGAATCCATCACGTCTAAATTTTGGAGTCTATCAGTACTACTAACAAAATTATTTTTCCTATTATTAGGAGCAAAGAGTGGGGAGGAGATCCAAATGGCAACTGTTATAATGAAACAAAAATGATAGACGATCCGAATTACTGGGGATCAGATAGTAGAAAAAGCATAATGCAAGTTATTGGTGAAGAATTTGGTAAATCCAAAGTGCCAATTACATTTCTCAACATCACTCAACTATCAATGCCACGAAAGGATGCACACACATCAATTTACAAGGAGAGATGGGGACCTTTATGTCAAGAAGAACGAGCAAACCCTGTAAGCTATGCTGATTGTATACATTGGTGTGTGCCTGGAATTCAAGATGTTTGGAATGAGCTTTTATTTGCAAAGCTTTTCTATCCTTAAGACTTAAAGTTGTGCACAACGACCAGACAGACACCTCAACTGACTCATTTAAAGGAGAGATGGGGTCGGTTGAGGCGTTTATTTGGATGTTCTGGACAACTTAAGAGCGCAATTTATATGTTTCGCTTTTGTAATTTGTTTGATAACATTTGTTAGATTATTCTTACTATAAATGTATACAATTTCATGATTTTTACTAGAGTTTGTCGTCGTTTTATTTTAAATCTGTTCTTACGTACCGAGTGTTAATTTGCTACCCAAAACAAATACTCATACTAGTGAAGGAATAGATAGAACTGCTAATGCCATAGTTTAGTTTGGTTACGAGATGCATGCTTCTGATCGCATACATTTAGTTAATAAAAGGTGAGAAAGTGAGTTGAATCATAGTAAATGTTTATAATATCATGTCATTGATGATGATATTGATGAGAATGCAAGATTAGAGGCTAATATGAACCGTCTAACAACTATGATAGATAGGGATCAAATTTTCTCAAAATATCTTAAATCCAACTCAAATACCACTTGAATCAACAATAATCAAATCCTTGAAACCTTCTCCAATCTCCAATCTCCAGGATGTCATTAATAGTATGTGCGCCTAAGCTTCTAAAATCAGCTTATTTAACAAAATACTTTTGATAAGAAGCAATTTGTGTTTGTTAATTTTGTTTACCCTTAAAATTGGATAACAATTAAACTTATAATGTGATTCTAAGGACACGTGATTTCACTTAATATCAATTGATAAATATGAAGATTAATAATAGAAATGAACTATAAAGTAAAGCAAACCAGTATTAGAATGGAACTCAACCCTCGAGTTTGGATACCCTCGAACTGGTTGATGCAAGAACAACTAAAATATAACAAGTTGATGAACAATAGTATAAACGAGAAAGAGAATTATATTGCTTTGATATTTGTGAACAATGTGTGTTACAAATGATTAGAACCCCTCTTTAAATAGTAGAGGAATTTCACTTATGGTATAATTCTAATTTGTAATGACCCGACTTGTCGTTTTAAGAATTAACTCCCCGTTCAGTGACTTAAGGTCTCGAGCAGCTTCGTAATATGTATTATGACCCGCGGGTGTGGTCGAATTTGATTTTTCGGAAGATTCGAAATTAAATTGAAAGAACAACTCCTATTTAGAAGCTTAAATGGAAAGAGTTGACCGGAGAGTTGACTTTTGAGCAAACAACCCCGGAATAAAACTTTGATGATGTCAATATGAGAAGCCGGCACCACCAGTACGAGATTCTTATAGTGGTTATTCTATTTATCCGGTAGAGATTCATTATGAGAAGCCGCGCCCGCAGAGGGGTTGTTATGAGAGTGGTGATACTAGACACATCAAGAGAAATTGTCCCAAACTAGGGAGGGGTGGATTTTATCAGAACACTCAGGCTACAAGCTTTATTCCAGTTAATACTCCACGTGCATAGCCAGTTAGGGGTGGAGGATAGGCGGGTAGAGGGCGTCTAAGAGGTGGAGGCCCGACCCGTTGATATAATTGCTATAAATTGACTGAGGCCGATACACCAGATGGTGTAGTTACAGGTATGATTTAATTTATAATAAAAAGGAGCACCATTCTTATTTTGATTCGATTCCGATTATCGAGGTGAAAACTCCTTTCATGCTCCTTACATATGGTGGATTAGTGAATTTGTATTCCACTCTCGTGTTTATCCCTGTTGGGAGATTTTATGGTGTTAGTCCGTGTGTATCATTTTTGTCTTGTATATTATTATGGGCTCTGAGTCCAAATGTGACTTTCTATTATTCTCTACAGTGAGTTTCAATGTAATTTCGGAATAATTGAATTCAATTTTATGAATTATATGCCCTACCGGTATGAGGGTTCATTATGTGTTGAGAAAAAATAAATTATTTACGAAATTTATTGAAAGGAAGAAAGAAAGGAAATTAAAAATTTCAGTTGGCACAATGTGCAAAATACTTGTGATTCAGAGTTGAGGACGAGATCCTCGCATTTTAAAATGATGTGAAATATTTAAATTGGACTACAAGCTGCGGTGAAAGTTATATAAGGACAAGATCCTTGTGATGAAAGTTTATGTGTTTAAATTCTCCCTTTGTGAAATTAAAACTTGTACTATAGTATTAATAAGGAGTCATTCTTGTTAGGCTTATTTGATAATTCTTTTATGTATTTTTGTGCATATTTATCCATAATTGTGAGGAAAATATTGAGTTTTAGCCTACGAGGTGAGTGCCCAGGTGGCATTAAATGTGACTCGCTAAGTCGGGTAAATAGTTATGAGGACTTCATGCCTCACGTCTTGCTGTCAGTGTTGTGAAAATTTGAAACGAGGTTTTGGTTAATATGAGGTTAATTGATGATGCTGGAATTAATTATGAACAACTTTTAAGACCAGAGATGTGGTGATGGGCATACATATGATGTGCTTCATGTCCTGATATCCTTATGATAATGCAGTGCTTGTAATATTGAGATTAGTGTTATTGATACATATATTGTGGTGCTTTGTTGGGTTGTGGATATGTTGTTAGGAGTTGTTTTAGTGTTACTCTGGTAGGTGGATAGGCCCAATTACAGGGGAGACTCTGCTGAAATTTCTGAAAGATTTGTGAGTTAGTAAAATTTGGGGGATTGAGACGTGCGAAAGAAGAGATAAGTTATGTTTTGTGTTTGAGGGTGGACTCTGCTTCTCATTCAAGGGCGAATGATCCTAAGTGGGGGAGAAAGTAACACCCCGGAAAAAATTCGAAGTACTTCAACAATATCAAGAAAGTTGATGTGTGCGTAAGCACGAGTTGCTATAACTAGTTGAGACTAATATCGTGCGTTGATGTGAAAATAAGGCCTTTTGAAAATGTTTGGAGTGTAAGAAATTGGTTTTAAAGTTTATAAGTATGAATAAAAGAAATAATCTCAACTGAGATGGTGTTATCGGACCCATGTTAAATTACGGAATGTAGAATCACCCACGAGTATGTGTGTAAGAATACACTCAGTAATTTAATATCCTCAAAAATATTCTTGACACGTTCGAGGACGAACGTATATTTAAGAGGTGGAGAATGTAACGACCTGACTTGTCGTTTTAAGAATTAACGTCCCGTTCAGTGACTTAAGGTCTTGATCAATTTCGTAATATGTATTATGACTCGCGGGTGTGGTCGAGTTTGATTTTTCGAAAGATTAGGAATTAAATTGAAAGAACAATTCCTATTTAGAAGCTTAAATGGAAAGAGTTGATCAGAGAGTTGACTTTTGAGCAAACGACCCCGGAATAGAAGTTTGATGATGTAAATAGCTTTGTATGGTAATTTCGGACTTAGGCGTGTGTTCGGATTTAGATTTGGAAGTTTGTATGGCAATTCGACGCATTTTGGCGAAAGTTGAAAAATAGAAGATTTTGGAAAGATCGACTGAAGGTAGAATTTTTGATAACGAGGTCGGATTTTGATTCTGAAAATTGGTATAGCTCCATTACTATATTTATGACTTGTCTGCCAAATTTGGTGAGAAACGGAGTTGGTTTGACGTGATTCGGATGTCCGGTTATTAAAATAGAAATTCTAAAGTTTTTTTAAAAACTTCATTTGATTTGGTGTCTGATTCGTAGTTCTAGGTATTATTTTGGTGTTTTGATTGCCCGAGTGAGTTTGTATTAAGTTTTTGGACTGGTGTGCATATATGTTTTGGAACCCCGAGGGCTCATGTGTAATTCGGATCATGATCGACGCATTTCGGAACCATGAAATTGCTGAACCTGTCGCTACTGTTTCCTTCTATGCGATCGCGTGACTGTGTTCGCGATCGCGAAGGCTTAATGGTCACGAATGAAATTGTACTATGCGATTGCATAGTGAGGTCCGCGATCGCATAGTTGCAGCAACTAAGTCGCCGCGAATGCTAGGGCCAAGCCGCGTTCGCGAAGAAGGAATGAGGCAGAAGCTGAAGCACAAAATGTTGTACTACGTGATCGCACAAGGTAGTCCACGAATGCGGAAGGCTAAGAAACTGTGCTTCGCGTTCACGAGAGCACTGCCACGTTCGCGTAGAGAAAAAGCTGGGCAACCTAAAAATGTGCTTCGCGATCGCGAAGCAATGTACACGGTCGCATAGGGTAAAAACCTGGGCAAACAGAACTTAAGTTCTGTAAATAGGATTTCACCCCATTTTCTACCATTTTTGATTAGGATTTTTGTAGCTCGGATTAGGGCAATTCTGGAGAGAGTTTTCACAAACTTGGTTGGGGTAAGCGTTCTATATCCTAAAGTGATTATATTTCATGAATCTATGATTTTATTCATCATTTATTTTGGATTTAAATGGAAGAAATCAAAATTTTGGCAAAATCTTCCAAAAACGAAAATTCAAGATTTGGAGGACGATTTGTTATTGAAATTCGATAAAATTGGTATGGTTGAAATCATATCAAAATGGGTGTTCAGATTTCATAAAAATTCGGTCGGGTTCCAAGAGGCGGGCCCTGCGTTGACTTTTATTTATTTTTAGAATAAATTTTTAAGTCGAAGTTTTATTTCCGATGAATTTTAATAAAGATATACAATTAATTTGGATAAATTTGAATAGTCCGGAGGTCAATTTGAGCAAGAAGGCAATTTTAAATATCGGCATAACTTGAAAAAGATAAGTATCTTGCCTAACCTTTAGTGGGAGAATTACCCCTTAGGCATTGAGTCTTATGTGGAAATTGTGTGATTGGATGTCGTGTACGCGAGGTGACGAGTACGTACTTAGGCTTATATGTGCAAATTTTATTAGTTTAAAGTTTTAGGCATTTTTATGTATTAAATTGGATAATTGTTGGCATTTGATAAATCCTTGAATTATCACGCTTCATTCCTTATTTGTCGAGTTTGTATTTTATATAGTAATTTGGTGTTATTGTCACTTGGATTTTTATATAAATTCCGTGTGTTTGTTGATTTGATATTTATCTTGAAATTAAATTCATGATGGAATCCTTATCTGCAAATATTTATTAAATAAGTTTAAATTGAGGAGTTAATATAATTATCAAGAATTTAGATTAATGAAGGTGTTTCCCTATACTGAGTATTTTTCACCTCTGTTGATTGTTTTAAGGTTTTATATACGTTGTGTGGAGCCTTGGGTTATTTGTTGAGAAATATATTGATTCTACTAC